CTAGCAACGATGGGTAGTTACGCTACCGTATCGGTAACGTAACGTATCGTAGCTTTTTTTGGGTCGTTAATGAGCTTGGTACCTGTAACGGCCCTCCGTTACGGTACCAATTTTGTGTTTGTTTCATTTTTGGGAGCTGTTACGGTACTATGGCTGTGGCGGCCGCATTTGTTTTCTCAGTTACGATATCACTAGGGTGGGGTAATTTTCGTTACGGGTAACGGATAAGGATGTAATAAGGTCATTACAAAATTGTTCTACTTTTCGGAAGGTAATAAAGCGGCAAAAGCTTGACCAGCTTCTGAAAATGCACCCGACAGGGGTACTTCCTCACGCAACCACATGAGGCTGCTAACGCAGTGCGACATTGTGGAAGGAAGTAAGCGGCCACGATTGCTACTACACACATTGGCAGCAGCTGAGAAGAGCCTCTCAACAGCACAAGAGCTGCCGACTGATCCTAAATATGATCGGGCCATAGTGGCAAGTATTGGATAGGATTTCTGGTTTGCCTGTGAAAACATGCAACAAGAGGTTAACAACCTTCATCAAATTCTCTTTCATTCAAATCAGATGGAATACAGACCTTCCACCATTTCAATGGTGTTGCCTTGTCATTGATAGCCTTAGCCTTAAAGTTCAAGTCAGCCTTGAGGAATGCTTCAATCTCATTTTCTTGCGGGGTTCGTTGCTGAGTTGTCCGCATTGCCAGCCGGGCCATGAGAGATTGTGGCCCAGCATTGGATGGTCTATCAATGATCGCTACATCCGGATCCGGATCCACCACATTGATGCTGGGCTGTTCAAGCTCGAGTTTCTCCTGCACTCGTCCAAATTCTCGATTCAGGAGGGATGTTGCTTGTTCTACCTCTGAGCTGTCTGATCCAAAGGCCAGCTCAAATATGTGCATTCTGAAGCATGGATGCAATATTGTTGCTATGACAAGTGTATGGCACTGCGTGGCCTCGTCCAGATACTTGTCGACACGTCCATGCATGGCAAGATACATTGGGTAAAGCGAATCCGTTTCCTTAGAGGTCGCCAACTTCTCTAAAAGACTTTCTCGCAACTCGAGGTATTTGGGAATGACATGACACCCCGTTGCCTGATTGCCTTCCATGAAGGCAGTCAGTTCAACAAAGACCTGTACACAAATTGATAGTCAGACCGAGGTTAGTGAAAAATACCAACACAATGAGAAGGAAAGTCTGACCTCTAGCTCGGCATTCAGATTGTCTATCTCTTTCCAATCTCGTGGTGTAAAAAAGACATTGGCATAAACCCCAGCTGCATTGTGTTCTTGATCGTCTTTCAGAAATCGGTCGATGACCTCTCGAGCATTGACAGCTTTGGAATAGCTTGTATACTTTATATTCCAGCGGATCCCGTATCCCGCTATCAATGGAGCAACCTTAACATTCATTTCTTTGGCGGTTTTCTCCAAGTTGGGCCTCTGGGCCGCTGATCTTGTGATTTGCTTGATGACTGTGTCAAGCTATTAAGGTGGAAATTGAAAACATCAGCATTAGCAAAAAACCAGTCAGAAGAGATCTGGCACTGAGCTCACCTTCTTGGTTAGTTCCAGAAGCCTCAAACTTCTCGCATGTTGACCAGCAATAACAGAGGTAGCCGGGTTTGCCGGGGTTATGTCCTTCTCCGATGTAGTTTCATCATCACCAGATCCTTCATCATCAGCATTTCCGTAGTCACTGTCAGAACCGAGATCCTCTTCAACTTGGGGACTTTTGTTGACGATCGAGGTATCAATATCCACTGGATCGGCGAGCTGTGTTGCCAAATCGGTCGGTTCGTCTGCCTCGGCTAGCCGTCCAAGAACTGGGAAGAATCCCAAGACCGAGTCCTTTGTTTTTCCAGGTGTGAGTGTCTTGAGAGACAATGCAGAAAGACCTGCATTCACAATCAATGCAATCTTGTGACAAAAACAGCGGATATGCATGTGTTTTGGGTCCCACATATCGGCGCCAGTCTTTACTCCGGTAAAGTTTCATCAGTAAGTCGTACATT